AGTCTCCGCGAAGCCGGCCCGGCTGCGCCCTGGTGACAGCCTCTCCATCCCTGCCGCACAGCTGCCCGTACATGCTGCAGGTGGCTGTGCGGCAGCGAAGGAGCAGGACTCTCTGGGGGGGCCCTCTTCTTCCTCGCTGGGCCCCCCCCCCAAGTGGCTGAACGCCAGGGTCCGGTCACAGTTGCGACAGCTGCAACCCTGGTAGTTCCGCCAGTGGTTCAAGCATGTAAATCGGGTAGGTCTTTATCACCAATAATACATTTTGTTCACAAGCAACAGTGCAGAATGTTTTTAATACTTCTAAAATGCCATCGTTAGTGACTGTCATTTCTTCAAATTTAGATGAGAAACAGAAAGTGTATATCCCAATATAATATTCAGCAACCTAAAATTAAAAAAGTGATTTAGGTTGGTTAAATAAAAACATTTTTAAACTATGAGGGGAGAGTTACAAGTTTTTGTTAGACCTGTCGTTAAAGTCAGTACAAGAAAAAAAACACCGAGTATAATGCTTCAGTCAGAGAAGGTTATATTACATGTGTGTGGAAGCACAATCAACATGGCAGATTATGCTACCTATGTACAGGGCTGTAGCGAGGGGTATGCGATTAAGGCCTCAAGCGCAGGTGCGGGGGGGAAGCGCAGCCAAGGCCCAGCCAGCATGGAGAAGTGGGGCTTCGCCTCTGGATCCCTGCTGCTCTCCCCATCTGTATGCAGCGGGGATCTGAGGAGAGGTGAAGCGCTGCAGCCAGCAGGGGGGTGGGGGGCCCCCCTTTGTGTGTGGCAGAGTGGTGGAGGATCGGTACATATCAGTGCTTTACACCACTTCCTGTTCATTCATGAGTTTCTCAATGAGGAGTAGCACTTTGTACAGAGGCTTCTCCCCATTCAGAAACTGGTTGATAGTAAATATTTTCTGAATGAATGAAAAGCCTCTGTAGTTTCCATTCATTTAGAACAGAGTCTGCAGAAAAAAAAATTGGGGACTCCGTGTCCTCAGTTTTTTTCTATTTTCAAAGGGAAATATCAGGGAGCTGTTTTTTAGCATTTCAGCAACACAGACTGGGGTCCAGATATTAAAAATGACAGCTGAGGCCGGTTTGTCCTCATTCCTGTATAAACAAGCCTTAATGGAGAACTAGGGGGTGAGTGAATTACACCCCATAGTTAGAGCTGATGTGTGACATTGAAACTCACACGTCGGCTCTATTGATGGGGAAGTGATCGGAAACATACCGCCGCTCTCTCACTTCCGGAATTATCTCCCTGCAAAGAGCGATGACTATGGGTCGCCACTCCCTGCACGCATTCTCCCATCTCCGATCCTCCAGCACTGACTGGAGGAACGACCGGGGAGGGGGTGGGCATAGCTGGCTCTGCCTCTAGATAGGCAGAGCCTGCTGTAAATCAGCCAGCGGGGTGGATCTCAACAGTATTGTCTGGATCTGTCCTGGCTGCAGCGCACTTAGCATATAGCGGGCAATAGCCTGCTATATACTGATTTTGGGTCATGGGAGGACGTTAGTATATGTCCTCTTGTAACCATAAAGAGAACTATGGAAAAAAGGTTACCCCATAGTTCTCGTTTAAGGTTTGTTTACAGCTCTCCTGTATAAACTAAGGTTTGTTTACAGCTCTCCTGTATAAACCAAGGCCTTGCAGACTTCTTTTACAAAGAACCTGCTGTCACTACTCTGGTGTAAGTAAAACAAAGCAACAGGCTTGTTTATAGGGGAGCGCTATCAGCACTCCAATAGCAGACTGGGGTTCATCTGTCATTTTGATATGACTCAGCCGTCATTTTCATAGGACTCAGCTGCCAATTTATTAGGCCTCAGTTGTCATTCTGATAGTCTGGAAATTGTAGGTGCCTCTTGTAACATATAGCCCCTTGTAATATATGTAGCCCCTATAGGCCCTTTGACTGGTGCTTAGTGTGCTTTATGGAAACTCTAGCCCTGTGTAATGTTCAAAGGGAAAAGGAAGAGAGATGTTGTTTGTAGCCACCAATGAGGTTTTATGGGAAAATGAAACATATTTTTTTGGTGATTGCTTTGATCAAATGCTTAATTTTTCTTCAAACGGCTCCATTTTTTTTTTGGACAGTAGCCTCAGTGTGAACGATTATGAACATTCTGACAAATCCCAACTGACTGTAGTCAGTTACTAGGCATAGAGACACAAAATATTGCAGTCACAGAAAGTCATAGATGGCTATACAATGATAGGAAAGGACAGTTTTAATAGCAACAAATTCAAAAAATTGCTTTATAGCAGTTATATACTATCCATTGTATCAATTTCTAACACAAGCAGAAATAACTTTTTCTATCTTGTTAGTCCATGTCTGTGTGTATCAAAAATGTGTCCTTAGATTTCATAATGTGATGGATTTATAACTCACTACTTGATTGCTTGTGTCAGCTGACAGTATGACATGAGGTCACCCTTCCCCTAGCCACTATGAAGAGGTTGTTGTGAGGATATGAAGCACAATGCTATAACATGCTGTTTAGCTGTTCTGGCCCCACTTGCTTCAAGAGATTTCATATCTATGTGAAATCCAATGTAAACAAGCCATGCAGAATATCAGGGAATGACATGCTTTACAGTAATAAGATAGACCATTAGTACAATTGTGTTTCAGCTTCAATGATTCTGCTGCAAGAGGAGAATGACTTATTATTGGTACAGAAGATTCTCTAGGTAAATAATAGTAAATAGCATTGAATCACAGATGTTAAAAAGGGCCCATAGTGGTAAATTTAGGAAATGTTATAAAAAATGGTAGCTTTTATTTATTGAGTTACCCCCCCCCCCCCCCCCCCCCCTTCATAAAACTGTATAAATGCACTTTTCGTCCAGTATAAAAAAAATGTAAGTGCTACTGGCTACATGTTAGAATGGCTGAATATAATAGATTGCAAAATGAATGCACATAAATTTAATTTACATTTTAGTTTAAAGAGGAACTGCAGGAATGGTATAAATGGTAGCCCCTTGCAGTGGGGCTACCCCACAAAGCACAAAGTGGGGCTACCCCACAAAGCAAGGGTTAAGTGTTCATTTTGATCTAGGGTTCTAAAATAAATAGGGTATACTCATCTGATCCTCGGTCCCACCTGGCCAATAAGTCTAAGGACCTACAATGGCATTACATCTAAACAAATGTCTAAACTGCCCAAGGTTTGTGAACATGATTTTTCTCCGGTAACAGGAGAAAAATGTAACCCAACAAGGGGATGTTTACTAAATGTTTAAATGGGATTTACAGGACTGCGGCATCTACTTCTAGTATGTATATTAAACGCGTAGGCTCACACCTGCACTACACTGCACAACACCCAGGACGTGCGATCGTGATCTAGTGCACACAGCGACTGCCATGCGGCCCCATTGATTTCAAGTACATTTTTTTGCGACACATGACGCGCTGCTTTTTTGTTCACTTGCATGGGTGGATTTTGTGGCGGAAAACCGCACAATCCACCCGGCGTGACTGGGGTGCCATTAGAAAATAATGGCACCCACAGCGCGATCCGTTCACACCTTGGCGACTCCCAACCGTGCAGCAATAGTGCACAAAACCGCATGGATTGCCGCACGATCGGGAGTCGCCTAGGTGTGAACCTAGCCTTAGAGCAGTCCTGCTTTAGGTAACAGTCTATGAGCATCAATTGACAATAGATAATTGATGTCAGTTCCCATAGTTGTGCTCCTGTAAGGGTACCTTTGTGGCTTAAAAGTGCATTTCGGTTGACAGAGGGGTCAACAGTGGTCAGTGCTTATTAGACATGTAAGCCATCAAAAACATTTTTGCTTTCGTTTTGTTTAAGATTTTTCTTTCTTTCAGGTTTTGGGTCTGAACGCCGTTTAGTTTCATTATTTGGATTTGAGTCTTTCAGAATTTCATTTTGGTTTCGGACGGGGTTTTCTGATTGTTCAGATAACACGTGTCCCTTTTAGTTTTATTTTGAATTAAATCCAAATGATCCCAAATTTTGTTAAAAGAGCATTCAGATTAATTTGCATTCAACCTCGTTGGAATTCAGATATTCGGATGCACCAAATTCATGAAATTGCGTAACGAAACAAAATTTACATGTCTAGTGCTTATGTCTAAAATGATGTAAGGCAGACACTATTAACAATAGAAGGCTTCATGTGGTGTCTAAAGTTATCCAAGGTGTGTTATTTATACTTCGACCAAGGTGCCTAGCTTGGTTTGTTGCTGGGGATGATTTCTGGTGTTTCTATAGGGACAGTCTATTCCAATCATTTATATATCAAATGAATGAAAATGAAAATCAATTTAGAGGAATGTATTTATTTTTACACAAATACATGAAACACAGGCAACCACAACATACAGTACAGTCATGCGTATCCTATGCAAATACTATTGCTTCAACTGAGTTTGCTCTTTGGTTTTTGGGTTTTGGGTACAATGTTTGGCACTGAAAGTTATGTCCAAACTTTGGGCTACAGAAAGCCCAGAAGCCTCTCTACAGCATTATGCTACGCCTGTAGACTGAAAAGTTAAACTGGCCATATGCGTATAAATTCACTCAATTACCCTATCCATGCAGAACAGCATGGATGGAGGGGTTTTCAGTCTGGCTGTATTCAAGTAGCTGCAGCACCCACAACTGCTTGAATACCTGAACAGTGACTGCACCTTATAGAATCTTCCACCCAACTCAGGTGATATTTAAATGGCCTTTTGTAGAGCTGGTGGTGCTGACAGGGCATCCCACCTTTCAGGCGATTTAGCAGGAATTGATCAAAACATGAGCAGTGTATAGCCAACCTAATGCCACCTAACCGAGAACCTTCCCAAATCTCCAATACTCTGCTGGTTGCAGATTTCAACTAACTTGCTTTAACTTGTTTTTTAACCTTTAAAGAGAGAACGTTTGGGCCAATAATTTAACGTAACACATAACTTTTAGAGGGTTCTGTTATAACTGGAGTTCTTCTTTCATTTTTCTTTGCCTCAGGTCCTGCAATTCCTGTTGGGGTGGATGTCCAAGTTGAGAGCCTGGATAGTATTTCAGAAGTGGATATGGTAAATGCTGATTGCTATAATCATTTGAAAAAGAATGTCACCAAAACTGCAACATGTTCAATGACTTTACTATCTAGCATATATAATCATAACCTACAACTAACAGATAGGTTTATTCTTCTCCAATCAGGACTTCACTATGACACTGTACCTGAGACATTACTGGAAGGATGAGCGTTTGTCTTTCCCAAGCAGCACCAATAAGAGTATGACATTTGACAGTCGACTTGTAAAGAAGATATGGGTGCCTGATGTCTTTTTTGTTCATTCTAAAAGATCCTTTATACATGACACAACAACAGATAACATTATGCTGCGAGTATATCCAGATGGACATGTTTTATACAGCATGAGGTGATTATATTATTATTAATATTTTCTGAAACTCGAAGTTTATTACCATTATTTTTTTTAAAAGCATGTGCCTTACAGTGTCAGTGCATTGGTATAGGTGTATATATGATACTAAGGAAAGTTTCCTATGCATTTAGCGCTGAATACTGACAGGTACATACATATTCTGACTTTATGAATGTACTAGAACTAGAGGATGTTTATGTGGAAGCTTGTTATTGTGCATTCTTGGTCAACAGTATAGATATCTCACAGGGTATGTGGGCAGATCAGAACTGTCTTCAGAGGAATACAGGGACAGCCAAAGCTTCCAGTCATAGCTGGTGGCATGGAGAGAAAATCTGTGACCATACTGCTTAATAGACGAAAAATGTGCTGGTTAGCTGATGAAAGATAAAAGCTAAAGCCAGTACGTCATAAAGGATACAGTTAGTGCATACAGGACAATGAGTGACAGAATGTGTCAGGGAACAGAAGTAAGATGGAAGGTTGTCCAAGACAAGGGATAACAGTAGAGAGTGCAAACATTTCCTGTGCAAATGGGTCCTTGCACCTCGGGTCTTGAAGTCTCTGGAGATGGAGACAGAGACTTGGTGGACACCGAGTGGCACGGGTGCCAGGGGTGCAGAGCACCGTGCAAGCCTTAGTCCGAGATCCGAGCCGAGGTCAAGTCCAATCTGGCAACGAAGTACACAAGGGTTAATCAGAAGAATGGTCGAGATACATGCCAGGGTCGGTTCCAATCTGGCAGCTGAGTACAAAAGGGGCAAAGAAGAAGAATGGTCAAGATACAAATCCGAGGTCAATGGCAGGCAGCAAGCAAGAGTAGTCAAATAGGTTTCCAGGTCACAACAAGTTCAAATAGATCACACACTAGCACAGGAACAAGGAGAGACTGAAGATAATCCATCAATTTGGCAGTGTCTGGGCTGAACTTATATAGGGAAGTAATGATTGAAGTTTTAGGTCACTTCCTGTGCGCCTCCTGGGCGTTTTCCCACCTTTTTACATCATGTCTTCTGCGCATGCGCGGGTTGGCAACGTGCCCTTGGCGCATGCGCAGTAAGCCTGGACTCTTACACTAATGTAATGAGGAGATTTCTGCTTTTTCAGAGGTAGGGAATGTTGGATTTTTCTTTACACACATTGAATGAACTCATACTTTTAATATAATCATTTTAATCAGAATACAAATCAGCCAATGCTTTAGAAACATGTTTACAGACAGTTCTGTCAAATATCTAACCACAATTTCTATATTACTGTATACTCTAAAGAATTACTGTGACTGCAATGTGCAATATGGACTTCAGTCGATTTCCTCTGGACACCCAGACCTGTTCCTTGGAGCTGGAGAGCTGTGAGTAACCATTCGCCATCTGATTTTCCTTGATTATGAGCCTGAATAAAAACAGAAACTTGAAAAGAGAGAAATACAAATGAGTATTCCTTTATTTTATATCACTGCTTTTCTTTAGTTGTTTTTAAAAATGAAAAAATATATATCAATCTTTATATTATTTTAAACACTTATAAAACAAAGATTAAAAACTAATTAAAAACAGATATGTGACAATGACTTAGCTTGAGGAAAATGCTTTGAATTCTAATAAGAAAGACCAGCACTACCAACATGCATATTGACAGACTGCATATATTTGACAGAAGCCAGACATCTCACCTCAGTTTGAATAGAAGGTGGTGGTGTGTCCATCCTCTGAGTCAATCAGCACTATACACCAGCTCATCTCTCCTGCTAATAAATTAAGTTAATCATACCTAGAGCTTACCATCTGATGGAAGAAAATAGTAAGTATGAAAATCCACATCAAGCATTATATACGGTAATTACCTTATTAAAATGGAATTAGCAAATTTCAAAAATATATGTTGGTTCTAGATAATGTAAAAAACAACAAATGCTATACTTCTGCCATCGGCAGTGATTTCAGCCAAGAGTGTAGATTTGTTCAAGAAACGTTTGGACAATTTCTTGAGGGACCGTAATATTCAGGGATACCAGTATCCCTAAGAATGAGATGATACGTGGACCTATATGGGTTGGACTTGATGGACGTATGTCTTTATTCAACACCAAATACTATGTAACTATGTAACTTCTCTTTTAACAATTATTCTGAATCAAAACACACTTTTAACTGCCTCCGGGCCGGCCGTAGTAGAAAAACGGCCAGCCCGGAGCTCTCTAGATCACTGTCATAGTGAAATATTTCGGCTGCTATAGTTTGACCTTACAGCTAAAAATGTTTGTTGTCTGGTTGCCATACTAATTCTTTCACTTCTTTATGAGAGGTGGCAGGTAAAAATTAGTTTAACACCCACCACAGTAGACAACCAGGTAATTTATTGTAGAATTTCCTCCAACAAAGTAATGTAGGTTCACATTCGCAGGTACAACAAGACAGCATTACTAGCAATCTCTAGGTGCTACAACAGTTCCAATATTTACTGTACCTGCAACAATGGATTATGGTAAAAGTTCAACCTGTTTGACACTCACAGTTTACCAGTCTTCGAAGTCCACTGGATATAAACAAGTACCAGCAATCCAAGGGTTCTATTTCACTCAAGTCCCAGTGTAATACCAATGGCCGTAGCAGTAATAGGACTGTCCACAGCAACAAATGTCCCTTCAATATCCACATGGCTAGGTATCCTTGATTCTGGCCCCTTTTGCTCTTCAAGGCAGCTAGTTGCTCCTTCTTGGGGTTCTGGTCATTCAATTCCTGCAGCAGCTTTTCTCTCCCCGGCTCACAGTAGCAGCATTCTTCCTTCCACAACACATGTGTCCACTCCCTCCTTTAGGGCACCTCTTATATACATTGGCTTGAGACCACCCCTTCCTGTCCCCTTCATGAATACTATAGTCTGCAGAGGCTTCCTTTCTGGCAACTTACATAGTTACATAGTTACATAGTATTTGAGGTTGAATAAAGACATTAGTCCATCAAGTCCAACAACTTCCCAACTAAAATGTTCCTTAACTAGAATCTTCCTTCACCTTCTCAAAGGACAGAGAATATTCTGCCTGGTTACATTTATACAAATAAAGAATGCTGACTATTTCCTTGGTTTTGTTTGTTGCATGATTGCTCCAGGACTTTGACTCAATAGTACCAAATTCAAACACATCCAAACAACCAGGATTTTAAGGAGACCAGCAACAGGCAGCTTAAATATTTCTCATATGGATGGTGTATTTTAAGTGAATCTGTTACATTTATAAGCCAGACGGAGGCCGTTTGCCCAGCACTAGCACCCCTAGATGGTGCTAATGAGTATAGGAATCTATTCTCGTCATCGCCATCTAGGGGTGCTTGTACCATGTGAAAGGGAGCCAGGCAGAACATTTATGAATATACCCCATATTGTTATTTGAAGCAAAGCACAGTATGCTTAGACTTTTTAAATTCATGCAGACAATAGTGGAAAATCGGCAGTTTTGGGGGTTTTAATTTAAACTCTAAATTGCAAGAGTATTAGAACTCTTTTATTCTATGTATGTGGACATTGCAGATTATTCTTTAAAATTTGCTGTTTCAATTGTGAAACCTGTGTTATATTGTATTGATAAAGCAGGACTGTTTACAAAATGTTTTAAAAAATTACATATACAGTGTCATGCAATCTGTAACTTGCATCAGCCCAGCAGTTTTAGTTTTTCTGAATCTCCCTGTAACATAGTTTGCTGCAACTGCTTAACAGGTGTTAGCTAGAGTTGGTCTTTTGTTTGTTTGTCTCCATTTAAAACTACAAGACCATCTAAAACTACCCTGTCACACAGGGTGAAAGTGTGCTCAATAATTTCAAGGGAGAACAAAAGGCATTGTAACCCTCATGAAGCCTATTTCCACCTTTTGCGGAGGTACTTAAAAAAAAACATATACCAACAATGTACACCGATTGTACATGAAGCAGGCATATGCAGTTGCTGTATATGAACACAGAAACGTATGTTTTTTGTTAGCTTTCCTCTTCCTGTCCTCATTGAAAGGCCGCTTCTGTGCTTTTCAAGCAATATGTGTAAGTTACAATTGAGCTCTCTCCCCCCATTCATTAGTATTCATAGAGGCAACCCCTCTCCTCGGACAGTGTATTGTGTGCAAAGGCAGAGCTGGTGTTCAGTGATCGTGTTACACAGAATCACAGGGAGGGGGCAGCTTTACAATTAAACCCCTGTGTCAGCCTGAATTTCCTGTGGAGAAAATTTTGAATTCCTAGGAACCAGGCCTAATAATAAGTTAATAAAAAATGAAGAAAGCCTGCAATGTGAGTCATGAAAATGTGCACATGTATACATCATCATCACTGCACCTCTACCTTACCACAATAGATGCTAATCACTTACAAAGGTGGAAATAGACTTTAAAGTTAAGGGGAAAATAACAGATTTCCTGGCAGGATCAACAGGTAATACAATTATGTTATAGGAGGGTCTCAGAAAAAAAACCTGCTATGTTATTTCTAGTAACAAACTGGAGCATATACAGTATGTCATGTTTAAATGTGACCAAGGTTCCCCTTTATGTGGGCCACTGACTTATCTATTTAGTAAACTGATGTATTTGCACAATTGTGTTTCTCAGTAACAGGAGCCCTTTAATGTGAAATACAAATATTCCCCCACGCATATTCCAGCTAGCCATGAAATAGTAACTAAACAGTTTCAACTACTCAGTTTAAAAATAGAGCTTATTGTTGCATACATTTGCAAATACATGTAAAGCCTCACTACCATGTCAAGGCACCTCTGTAGAGTGTGTGGCCTAACTCAAAAGTATCTAAACGATGAGACAACAATGCAAAGATGGAGAGCAGGTTACAATAAATCAGTTGTACAGCAACCCACCAGAAGCCCAACATCGCTCAAGCCAGTTGATAACGCTCAATGTGTTTCTCCACCAACAAAGCTGGAAAGTATGCTAGGGAACTATGTATTGCTCCATATATTGCCCTGCATTTATATAAACATTTTCATTTTTACTAGTTTTAAATGGATTTCAGCAGTTGTCTTGAGAGATGTTGGCCTTCTGGCATGTTTTTGTATTTTAAGGAGGAGAGGGCTGCCTCCTGGTAGTCTGTTCTCAATTTATGCATTGCTATATATTTCTCATAGTTGGGATAGTTTTTTAATGTTAGGACTAGGGATGCACCGATACCGATACTAGTATCGGTATCGGTGCAGATATCAAGTATTTGGGCGTGTACTCATACTCGCCCAAATGCTCCGGTACCTTCCCGGATACCGTAACTTCCAGTCAGAGGAAGATTTCCTCTGACCAGCAGTGCTGTAGGGGAACATGGAGTCGGGCCTTCCCGATTCCTAATTGGTGGAGAAGCCGGCTCCATGCTGATTGGCTGGGAAGCCGGCTTCCTGGCCAATCAACATTGAGCCGGCCCGAACAGCCGACTCGATGCTGATTGGCTGGGAAGACGGCTTTCCAGCCAATGAGCATGGAGCCGGCTTCCTGGCTGATCAGGGAGCCGGGAGGCGGGTCATTACTTGCCTCCCAGCTTCCTGAATGGCCGGGAAGCCAGCTTGATGGTGATTGGTTGGGAAGCCAGTTTCCCGGCCAATCACAATCGAACCGGCCAAACAACATGGAGCCGGCTTCCCAGGCAATCAGGAAGCCGGCTGGCATGTCATTATCCACCGCCCAGCTTCCTGAGTGCTCAGGAAGTCGGCTCCATGCCAGCAGAAGCACTGGTATCGGTACTCAGCATCGGCAAGTATCGAAAGCAAAATATCGGTACTCGTACTCGATACCAAAAAACCGGTATCAGTGCATCACTAGTTAGGACCTATGGACATGAAAATTAAAATACATGCTTCCAGGTGTGTTTGAAGCCTATTTCTAAATGCACCTGAAAGCAATTAGTGATTTGTTATGTTTGAATGCACACCCAAACGTTTAGCAGTGACTAGGCGCATTCAGTCTTGCTGCATTTATACAAACAAGGCTTTTCTATGTCCTGGGACTGTTTAGCCTGGTTTTGCACAGATAAACACAAGTAAAGGCATATTAATGCATGTAAACGTGTCTAAATGTGGCTAAACATAGGAAAAAATGATCTGGGAAAAATAAAAATTGTTCATACTTCCCAGACAATTTCTGCTGTGTTTAATGCAGGAGGCATCAGTGTGCCTTTTCATGTATTTTCAAAAGTACAGTATGCAGCACAAAACTCTAGCAATAAAGTGTGCTGGGAAACTTTTGCGGTGTTTTGTATATTCCCCTGCCCATGTGAACAATTCACTTTTTTTTTGCTAGTTTTTAATTGATATAAGTGGCTGCCATTGTTGCTTCCCTTTAATAGTGTCACTCCAATTTTGTTAAAAAAGAAAATCTACCACCTTAAATGTAAAGGGAACCTATCAGGTCTGACAAAAAGCTTTGGGTTTTTATCTGTAGAACAGTTCCTGTGTGCCTGGGGAGATTCCAAAATTTCAGGCCCAGGCTGTATACAGGGCCCACAATTCTTTACAAGTTGTGCTACCCCCCAGCCCCACCCCCCTATCCCCCAACTCCTTTCAAGCTGATCTGTCTGTGGGGTTTCTTAGACCACCGAAGCAGAAGGGGAACAAGACTGAAAGGAGACCAGTCTAACAGTCAGCCATGTTCGATGTTCGGATGAGTATATCTATGTTATTTTCATCCCTAGACAAAAATGAGCACTTAACCCTTGCAGTGCAGGGGTAGTCCCACTGTAAGGGTTAAGAATATTTATGCCTGGAGTTCTTTAAATAGTGGGGTTGAGTTTGACCAGGAGAGGGTAAAGGGCTGAACACAAACTGGGATCCAGGGTCCTTCCCAGGCACACAGAAGTTGATTTGAGCAGTTAAGTTCAGTTACATAATTTATAAGACCTGAAAAGTATACTTCACGTTTTCTTGTGTTCTAATAAACAGAATGAGGTGTCTCTAGTGATTACTAATTTCAAATATTCTTTTAAGTACAGATGCATACACCGATGAAGATCTTATGCTCTACTGGAAAAAAGGAAATGAGTCCTTGAAAACAGATGAAAAGATCTCATTATCTCAATTCCTGATTCAAAAATTTCATACTACATCTAGACTAGCCTTCTACAGTAGCACAGGTAACTTGAACTACAGACAGCAGCCAAAATTCCAACAAGATACTTTAGGGTTCTTTATTTAATCACAAAATAATAAAGATATGTTATCCTTACACACATACCTCTTGGCCATACTATGGGTATTTTCAAGTTTGTCTGGCATTCCACTTCAGAAAATCACACAATCTACACATAATTTACTGAGTGGGCATATAGAGCAGTGAACAATCTATTTGTGACCAGAAAGTTTTAAATGGGCATGTAGGATAAATCCACTCGGATATTGGAAACTAAGAGCATCCAATGAGACAAACAAATCAATTATCAGCCTGGCCAAATGTGTACTGAATAGTGTTAATTTCGTTGACTAAAAATGTTAGTCATAGTTTTCGTCAGCTGCATGTTTTCAGTGACGAAAACTAAATAAAAACAGAATAAAAAAGTTGATAGGACTAAAACTGACAAAAATACATTGCAATTTTCTCAACTGGAGATTTAAAGGGTTATTCCCAAAGCTGCCGAAGGCAGCCGAGTGAATAACTTGGTTCAGTACGGTTGATTTCAGCTGTATAGCGGCTGAAAGCAGCCGTACATCGGCTGCACTTCAGTGCAGAGCATGTTCGGCTGAGCCGAAGTGCAGAAGGACTTCAACTCAGCCGATCCAGCATCTGGATTGGCTGAGCCGAAGCTCCGGCAGCTCACTTGCTGCCGTTCACCCCTATTCACATGGGGGCTGAACGGCAGTGAGTGAATAGCCGAATGCCGCCGAGCTAGGCTATTCTGCTCGGTACCTCAATGGTAGCAGAATAGCAATTCAATTAAAAGAGTAAATTAAAAAAAATAAAGTTGAAAAAATCTTTTTTTTAAATGTAAATAAATGTTAAATCTGAAAAATAGGCAAAGATTTTGTAAAAGAAAAAAAATTTGGCGGAGCTAGCAGTGACGGCTAGCTCCGCCCAACTGTTTCCTGTTGGCCGGAACCTACTAGAGTCTTCTAGCAGCTCCTGGCCTATGAATAACAACCCCGCCCACTTGTTATTGTTTAATGACAGATCAGCATCCCCAGGCCATTTGGGGACACTGATCTGTCATTACAACTGACACTCCGACACTGACTCACTGACAATACAACTGGTTACTCCGCCCAGCTGCCATTTGCGGTGCGAAAGGCCGGCCGTTCGCCCCACTGCGGCTGACACTTCGGCTCAGACGAGCCGAAGCATATGTCTTCGTCTGAGCCGCCCGCCCCTTCGGGTGCTCTACGGGCTATTGTGAATAGACTGAACCGAAGGGCTCCGGATGCCAAAGAGAGCAGAAGGACCAGCCAAAGCTACGGCTGGATCCTTCGGCTCTTCTGTGAATCTTAGTCTTCTTTTTATTCGACAAAACTAAACTAAAACTAAAACAATTCAGTTTACTAAAATACAACTAAAATGCCATTTTAGTTTTAGTCCCATTTTAGTCATCTGAATTGTTTTAGTTTTAGTCTAGTTTTGTCGAATAAATCTCCAGTAGAGAAAAGTACAATGTATTTTCATCATAGTTTTAGTCCTATTAACTTAGTTTTCATTTAGTTTTCATCACTGAAAATATGCAGCTGACGAAAACTAAATTACGGAGATTACAACGGGGACTCAATTTTGCTTGGTATAAAGGCATGAGCATGGTCTATTGAACTTTTTTTGTGTATATATGACACTTTAACTGAACACACATGGACTCTATTGAACCAATTATGTTACTTATGTTACTTTTGTTGGCAGTTGTTTATACAAGAGTTAATTTAGAGATTTTGCAGGAAACAATGTAAAATTTATGCAGCCAAAGCTTTTCAGCATCTTGTTGGTAAATTATTTGAAAAACGATCAACTTCGATTTAATGGACTACTTTGTGTAGATCTGTGACATTAAAATTCAAATTAAATCCAATTTATATCAAGGTTATTACATGTTCAGTGTGTGTTGCCATTAATTTAGTATATGTGACTCCTATACTCTAGTTGTAACACATCTAATAAATTGAATCCTATGTTTATTATAAAATAATAAAAATTGTAAATGTGTCTTCTAGGGTGGTACAATCGGCTGTATATTAATTTCACACTGAGACGTCACATCTTCTTCTTTCTGCTACAAACATATTTCCCTGCAACTCTTATGGTCATGCTGTCCTGGGTCTCATTCTGGATAGATCGCAGAGCCGTACCTGCCAGAGTTTCCCTTGGTAAGGCAGGAATCCTTAATTTTCTTATATATCTATTATATTCTAATAGGTACTAAAATGTGCAGGATGTCCCTGCTGTTGATGTGAAACTTGTTTGGACCTATATACAGTATAGCATATTTGTGAAAGTAACTCTTGAAAATAAAGTGGACTTTGCAGTAAAATGCAAGGTCCTTTTATGCTGTCTGGACCCCTCCACTGTATAAATCACTAAGATAATAGGTCCAAAACATAGCTGTATAGAATAAAGTTAGATTTATACTCATCTTACTGCACATCGCTGGAAGTCAAGTCACTGTCCTTCTGGGAAGATTCCTGGGGAATGCAGAGCAGACAAAATATTGTGAGAGGACATTCTAGCCTTTTGCAAGAGCGTCTTCTTGTGAACTTTTGGCTGCTCTGCATTCCAAAAGGATCTAGCTAGAAGAAGTGTGATGCTACCCTGGTCTAGGTGCTGAAGACAGAAGTGGATGGTAAGGTAAATAGAAATCTAAACTTTTTTTCTTCCAGGTACAACTCCTATTTGCTAATAATTTATAGAGTGGGAGGGGGCCCAGACATTATAAATGGACCTTGTATACATACAGGGAGCCTGACCTTCCTGCCCAGGGCATTCAGCTTTTTATCTAGGCATAGCTGTGGTGAATTTAGAATACCTCACTCCCATTTTTTAGTAATCTAGTAAACTGAGGGTTCCTTTTAGTTACTTGTTTGTAATACAGGAGATATGTTCTTAGGCAGAACTGCTGTAGTCTCATTGCTGTCTCTCACGTGCAAAAAACCTAATGTATCCAAGTGACAGTACTAAGTTTAGTGGAGTTGCCTTATCATAGCCACTAATCTAACCAAACTTTGGAAAGTTTAATATGATTTAATATGATTGGTGGTTCATCAAGCAGCGAGAAAGTTGCACAACACAGAGAAAGGAAGCAGATCTAACCACTCTATGTGGAGAGCTCTTTGCACCTTGGCTGCAGTGAATTACATGCATAAAATTAAGTGGGCATTATGGGGTTGTTTTACTAAAGGCAAATAGGCTGTTTACGTTGCAAGGCAATTTGCAAAGGAAATTTCTCATAGCTTAGTGAACGTGGTGAAAATTCACTTTGCAAAGAATATCCAATCACAAAAAAAATATATATTTGCTTGCACATTTGCTTGAATTATAGAAGTCAGCAGAGCTTCACCTCATTCACTAAACGAAGGGAAAATTCCATTGAAAAGTGCAAATTCCCTTGCAAAGTATATAGCATATTTGCCTTTAGTAAATTAACCACTACGACTTTAGAATTATTTAAAAATGCCCTGATTAGCATCAGCAGATGTGAGGTTTCAGAGCACCTGCAACTCACTTGCAGGTTTTGATAGTCTGGTTACAGTAACGCAGTAAACCTTTGTCATGGAATAAAATTTTCACGGGCACTAAGAAGAGCTTCAGTGTATCCTCTGTACAGACAGTTCAGCTCAAACATGTTAGCTATATTTATGCTGCAATTACTGTTTACGAACAATTGAATCTTTAAAAATCACACAAAGATTTACATTTTTTTCTGGAATGAACAAAATCTTTTGATGAAACAGCAAATGTGGTTTTCATTTGAGAAACTCATTTATTTTCAAAATCAAATGTTAAAACCAAAGGAAATTTCAAATGTCATCCATCATGTCTTTGAAAGCATTAACAAATGTTCTGATTAGATTTTTAATGCAGAAATCTATTAGTTTATGGCTAGCTTAAGGCACAACTGACCAATACATTAGGAGCCCTGAGAATGGAATATGTAATTAACCTATCATCTGCATACGACTATTGGTGACCAATCCCCTTTCCTACAGTCTGGCTTCATAAAGTATATTATTGACCAATCCTGGCACACCAGTGAAATCTTACATGAACCATGAGGCCCTTTGATTACTGGCAGTACAACTCATGCTGTAATGGTTTTGATTTGGAGTCAGTGCTTAAAAGTGTTGTTTTTTAACTAATTTAGAGTAAATTATATTTGAAATACATTTTTGAGTATCATGATTCTTGGATTGTATAAGGGAGCACATTTCTCTTTTTCCCCACTCTGTAATCATTCCAATTTATGGATGTACCAAAGTAAATGTGGTTTATTAATAATAATATATGATTTGAATTTAGTATTAACAGATATTTTTGTTTTCTCAGGTATAACGACAGTACTGACCATGTCAACAATAATTACTGGAGTAAACGCCTCCATGCCCCGAGTATCATACATTAAAGCTGTTGATATATACCTTTGGGTTAGTTTTGTGTTTGTTTTTCTATCGGTGCTGGAATATGCTGCTGTCAATTACCTAACAACAGTACAAGAGAGAAAAGAGAGAAAGATGAGAGAGAAGGTAAGAAAACATAGGGGCATAGCAACATGTAACAGATGTTTTGCCATTGAAATGTTGGTTTTGTTGTTATGGACACACTTTTTTGTGAGAGCTTTACTAAATGTACAATGACAGGGTTAATAATATATAGAGGGTATAAAAGAGTGAGGCAAAAGCAATGATTGGCTGGTTTCACATGTGACCTTCCAGCCTTTAGTTATATATTTTGTTTTATATTTAATCTTTAATTTTAGTGATGAAAAGTGACTTAATCATTGAAATCAATTAAAATCCTAACTTGGGGAATAGACCTATGGAGAAATTAAAATGGGCCCTGTGATCTTAGCTTGTGCGTACGGATGCTTCACTATATCTTCAGCAATGTTTGTAAACATGTTAGTGACATAATTTCCCAAAATGACCCCAACTGTTCTCTGCATTTTTAATATACACTTGATGTCAAGTAACAAACGCCTCATGCTGGCATATTTAGTATGCTTCATTTAGTAAAGCTTTAAAAAAAAATGTTTTTCATTAAATGTGTAATTAAAAAGTTACAAACACACATATGAATTTCATTATGAACCCTGATTCAGGTCACAATGTCCGTTGAAATTTAGGTTCATTATTTTTAAATGATACAAATCTTGTTTTATTTTGAATAAATTAGCTGCTTAATATGCTTTAAGCAATTTGTTGTATGCAGAAATGCAATGAACTGTGTAAAAAACATGCTTGTTTATAAATTCTCAACAGTAAGATGCAGCTAATCAAGGTCCCCTGTCTCCTTTTTAGTTTCCCTGCACATGTGGGATGTCTCACACAAAGACAATGATGATGGATGGAATGTATGGAGACCCTGAAACCAACAGTCTGGCTGGATACACTAAAAGCCAGATTACCACAGAAGATGTGGAGAAGCAGGACAAAATGGTGGTGCACTTGGCCTTGAGTCCAAATTCCACCACCTCCAAAAAGAAAGGACGTAAGGGCCATGTTGGCTTGCGGCTAATGCAGCATACTCATACAATCGATACGTATTCTAGGATGATCTTTCCAGCATCCTTTATCTTTTTTAACCTGATATACTGGTCTGTGTTCTGCTAAGAATCACTGTGGAGAACTTTCCTCCCCCTCAAGACTTGTTCACCATGTGAATAATGTGAATAATGGGAATGTGGGATCTAGATCAAATGCCTTTGCTATTTAAAAATTGCTAATTTTGATTGCTGTTATCCTTTATAAAGAACAAATACCTCAGTAAAATGGCAGTAGATCCCACCAGGTATGTCACTTTACAACTACCAGATAAAAAAAAAGCATGATTCAATTTTAACTTTTGTAATTCCAGTTTTTTATTTGACTGATTTTTTATTTAATGGTCTACATTTGCTCCCATACTACATATGTTAATTAACGGAGTTAGTGGTGGACCCCCATCCCGTTCAATTAATGCTCAAGTACAAACAATTATTAATTGGGTAAAAATAGACAGGTAAAGTAGCTTTTGTCTAATTGTTTCAGTGCCAATTAGGGCAAGTGTTAATGAGGTGTTTGTTACTTGACATCAAGTGTATATTAAAAATGCAGAGAACAGTTGGGGCTTTATGAAACATGCCTCCTGTTTCTCATCTGCCCCAGAAGTGATGAGTGCTCAGATCTATGTGGCAGCAAGTGAGGGACGACCATTTTGTGTAAGGGGTTCGTTACATCTCAGATAGCCCATGTCCAGCTGCACACGCTGCACAAATGGTATTTCAATAACTCCTGCAAATACAAGGTACTTCTTGGTTCCAAGCTGCTACAGATGTCATCTGCCTGGTGGTAGGGAAAGTGGGGTGGGGAGAAAAGCGGAATATTTACTCGAGATACCAAACTTCTAGGGTCACCAAGAAATGAAAGAAAGGTGTGGGTAATTAAACCTGTAGGCATGCACCCAAAAACTTACAGGGCTATTCACTAAAGGGTGACGAGTTTGGAGAAGGCAGGAGAAGTGAACAATCTAGGACAACATGATTTGTAAAAATTCTCCCATTCAGCTCACTTTACAGTTCAGCTATGTTGTCCTAGTTTGTTCACTTCTCCTGCCTTCTCTAAACTCTTCACCCTTTTGTGAATAGCCCTGTTAATTTTAGATTTAAACACATTTGTCTAAGAGAATAATTAGACTCACACTACTTATAATAATTTATTTGTAAGTTAATTAAATGACCTGAAGAGAAAGTACAGGTAGCGGGACATATATTGCTACTCCTATGACACAAAGTACGAATACTCTACTGTTTTTAGGAATTGGCCAGAGGAATTACAGTGTGATTAAACATGCAGGCTTGATCCAACCACATGAAGATTTTCTTTTAACGGATATATGCATGGCTGAAAGTGTCTATGTCTATGCCTGTGGAGGAGGAAGAGGGAGCATACCCAGACACCTACAGTGATAGTATCTCAGTAGAAACCATAAACAGTTACCCACAAGTCTCCAGTATGGCCAGTATGTTAGCCCGGTATGTTTAGCTAGGTCTAAATGTGGTCAAAGACATGAAGATCATTTACTTTTTGCATAACATTGTACACCCTTAGTAGTTAGGTGATATAAATCACAGCTATAAAAGCTCCCTGAAGCATTAGCTTATAGACAGGCAGTTGATTTTTTTCTTTAAAACCCACATTTTGTTTGCGGTTTTTAACCTGAGTTCCCCATTGCAAAAGAGGATCATATGACACCTGACTATCATATGCATGTTGACACTTCCTTTACATATGCTAACAATCACATATAAATGATTGTGTATTATGCCCTTTTTAATGTATATTATGTGTAGATTTCACAAGCAATGAACAATGTTTTGTTGTATTTTTTTTGAATAATGCAATGGGAATTTGAAAGCAATTAAGGTAACTTTGGCAATTTGTGCTTGGCTTTTGTTCCTGGCAAACACATGGTAAATTCATGATAAACGCAATGGTAGGCATATTTAAAATGCTCAAATAGGCTAATCATTAATATAGGCTTCCCATATTCTGTATTTAATAAACAAAGAAATATGATTGCTACTAATTTTGTTTTCTACAAGCTGTATATGTCAGTGTGAAATGTCTTCCAATACTGAATACCCATACTAAGGTTTTGGTTGGTCAATTCAAACTAAGCTTACCTAACTTGTATAGTATGTTAGTACACTTCTGGATTTTGAAACTTAAAATATCTAAAACAAATTAAAGAAAAATGTATTTATTTTACATTTGCCAAAGATAGCTGTAATGGCAGGTAAATTATGTAAGTCTACAGGTGAAACTCGAATAATTAGAATATCGTGCAAAGTTCATTTATTTCACTAATGCAACTTAAAAGGTGAAACTAATATATGAGATAGACTCATTACATGCAAAGCAAGATAATTCAAGCCGTGATTTGTCATAATTGTGATGATTATGGCTTACAGCTCATGAAAACCCCAAGAACCCCAAATCCACAACCTAAAAAAAGTAGATTATTACATGCAATCAATAAAACAAGGATTGTACATAGAACAATATCGGACCTCTGAAAAGTACAAGCATGCATATGTACTCATTACTTGGTTTGGGCCCCTTTTGCAGCACTTACTGCAATTACTTTTGCACGATATTCTAATTATTCGAGTTTCACCTGTAACTCTCCTCATAAACAACCCTAATTTATATTATATTTGAATACTACAATATAAATGGATATATGTATGTAATAGCATGGCATACAAATATAGGAAGTTAATTATAACTGACACGCATTTTATTTCATTGGTATATTATTACCTGAAAATGCAAGTTAATCAACAAGAGAGACATTATCGGGTTAGCAGGGTTTTCCAACTGTTTTCGGCTGACCATCATAATGTTCATGGGCGCACTGCATGCCCAAAGCAATTAGGAATCATGTAGTACATGTATTCTATGACAATGGCTGTCATATTGTCAAGTCTGAGCCTTAAGATTGAGTTTGACAGCTACACAGAACCAAGTTAGAGCCACCATTGAGAAATCCAAGCCAAAGGGCTGCTATCACATTCATTGTAGTACAATATGTGGTAACTATAAATGTATTAAACTCTTTTGGTCACATGATCAGAGGGACTGACAAGAAGCAGCGACAGTTGTTAAGTTTCGTAAGACTCAACACAGTTATCTTCACTGTTGGAATAAAACATTATTACAGGACAACTAGAAAATACATAGCATCTTAAGCTTTAAGCTTAAAGTGACATCAAACTTAGGAGTTAAATCTTAAAAATGCATTCAAGTACCTTAACTATTAACAAAAATCTTATTGTTAATAAATATCTTATTTGTGCACCACTCAGCTGTAGATCCTCAGATCATCTCGGAATTCCTGCTGACACTGTCCTTCCTTCTACTTTTGTTCCCCATGCGATAGACTACAATCTCAAATTTAGTTTACTAATGTGTATTGAGATTGTAGTCCATTACGGGAGTGAGCTTGGAGTGGTGGCTACTTTATAACACACACAGGGACCATGGGGAACAAAAGTAACCACCCTCCAGAAGGAATGACAGTGTCAGCCCCAATTCAGAGATGATTTGAGGATCTACAGCCGAGGGATACACAAATAAGATACATTTGTGTTACTAGTTAAGGTACTTGAGTGCATTTTTACAATTTAACTGGGTTTAGTATCACTATAAGATTGACATTTCAGGTAACCATTTAATATTCATGAAAATACTTTATTCCTTCATTCTGGGCATGAGTTAACCTCCTGCAGCTGTTATGTGCTATAAGTCACTTATGCTACCCAGTTCCTGGGAAGAGCACACTAAACAATTTCCTTCAGCCCCTTATGATACATGAAGGTCAATGTAAGCTGTAGTATTAGCAGTAGCAGGAGGAAGATGAGTGATGGCATATTTGTGTGGAAGGGGCATCACAAAGGACATGTTTGGTAACATAATGGAATGGAACACCCCCTGGCAAAGCCATCAGATATTACTAGTCTTTTCTTTGTGGGATAAATACAGTTGCATTTAGTATTAACAATAAAAAAATTAGAGTCTCGCAGCAGTAAAAAAAAAAAAGAAAAGAAAAATGCAAGATTTCGGTTCTGTCAAGAAAAGATAAACAATGGGCAGCACAGAGATTCTAGATAATAGCACTAATGACTGTATATATTACACAGTGTATAAAATGCTTTAGATCCATACTAATCGCTCATAGCAACTTTTTAACTGACATATTACATTGTGACAGGGTTCATTTCTACCGATATGTATTGTACAAAAATGTATGTGTATATATTACATATGTATATAAAAGTCGGACCTAACAATACAACAACAATGTATATATAATGTATATGACTTTTTCTATGTGAATACTATAAATGACAGTGATTTCAGTGTACAAACCTAGACCTTGCTTTATGAACAAAATTGGTAATTTATTAAAGCTTTTTTAGCTTAAGAAATATAATTGGTTAAAATAAGACTTTTCCAGTAAATATGCTTTTTATTGCATAATGTCTAGATGTCACACTTTGCTCTTCAATTATATCAGTAAAGTTATTGGAACATTTTAAAAACTTTTTATAAAAACATACAGTAAAATATTAGTCTTGCATAGCAAGCAGCAGAATGGGCTTGATGCACTAAATGCTGGTTAACTGACTGGTAGAAATGCATTAACAATTCTTTTTTGGTTATGGGACAATTCTAATTCACCAATGGGTTTCTTATAGCATTTGATGACTTCAGTGCCAAGATTACCCTGCTACAGTTTTAGGGCATGATTCCTTTTACTCAGAGTATTACTTGTACAGCTACAGCAATCGGAGTTTCCAACATCCTGCCACAGTATCCATTTTACAAAGCAAGTTGAAATTAAAAATGGTAAAGTGGATCTTTCTCATGATGGCTAGTGGGCCGATTTGGAAACTCCAATTCAGAAAAATTGCCAGTGGAGAGATACAGAGAAACCAGAATATGATTGACTTCACTAACAAATCCTCAAAACTGAAAACAGAAGTTAAGATTATCATGGTTATGCTATTTCCAGGAAAGCTCCAGCATGGTATTTATTTATGGAACATAAAAATGCACACCACAGTGCT